ATGCGGGTATCTCAAGAATAACAGTAACTTGAGAATCGGTATAGAACCAGGGTGAGTTAGAAGTTTGTCTCTTCGTCCTGGACCAGGTGCACGTTGGCTTCTCTCCCGTTCCGCTGCACTCACCCGTGAGTAGAATTAAACATACAGAACACCGAAATAAAAAGAGTTGTAAAGATGTGTTGATGAGTTGCAGCTCACGGAGAGAAAGCTATAACGGCTGCCTTTCAAGGGGACAACATATTTTGTAATAGAAATTAAAATTTGATTGAAAAATAACCCCCCCACTTTGCCATAATGTCGTCATCCAGACATTTCCAAGGTCAGTTTCACCGAGGGTGGTGGTGAAGGTGGTAGTGGAAAGAAAAAAGATTTAGGCGTGGGTTGTGGAGATGTGAGTGAACGCTCAATTCTGAGATGTAATTTCTTCCATGTTTGCAGAAGGGTACGAACATAGCGCAACTGTGAGCGCCTTTTTTCCTCTGCTTCTTTTTTATTTCATCATTTTTATTTTATTTTACTTTCTGTTCCGTGTACCTGGAGTGACCCCGTGTGGTCTCATGGTTTACAAATCGACACACATAAAACATTCTTTGAAGTTCATTGCTGCTTCATCCCTTGATCCCCCACCCCACCCCTTTTTTCCGTCTCCTTTCTTGTATGTCCCCCTGTTGGTACAATAATATCTCTACCTACCACGATCGGCCAGCCGCCACGAGCACCTGCCGCCCTAATCCACAATCTTTCGTCGTCTAACTGGTCGCGTTGCTCTGCATAACGGAATCGGTCGTAGAATTTGTCGCTTCTAAATCCAGTCTTTATTCTGTTTCTCTAGAGTGGCGGGGTGTGGTGGAGGGGGAGTTGGTGTTTCGCTTATAATGCTTTCCATGCGAACAATAGGAAAATCTAAATTGGCTGTCTGATAGATAGATAGATAGATAGATAGATAGATAGATAGATAGATAGATAGATAGATAGATAGATAGATAGATAGATAGATAGATAGATAGAAGGCTGGCTTGCAGATAGAAAACACACTCACACTCGCGCTCACACTCACACTCACACTCAAAGTTTAATTAACGTCCAAATCAAAATACTTGTTTTACACACCAACCAACCAGCACACACTCAACAACAGACACGTCTTCCCCCCCCCCCCCTTGTACAATGTCCCTCTCAGATGATGTTCTCTACAGTTCAAATTGTACAAAAATAATAACTACTATAACCATTATCTTTTATGTTCATTTTTCACGTATTATAACTCTCTGTACGTCTTGTTCAGGCACCACTGTTCAGATAATAACCAAGTCTTGAATCTAGTACAAAGCATCATGTCTAAATAACACTGTGCCTGTACTACCAGCAACATTATTTTGTGGGTGCACACATATTATACTTTTACGTCTAGCTTTGGATGTTAATACTTTTGTATTATGCTCTATGTTATATGAATCTGTGCTGTACTGTCAGGTTGTTTTGCATTAATTGTAATTACGCATGTTAATCGATCAGTATTACGAGCCAAGGGCGATTTGAATGTGAAAATATAAAGTCTTCTCCGTGCTTTTTTGTGTTAGTGAAAATGTTATTTATACTTGTAGTTTTGTTACTTGAAAAAAAGAAGAATGCACTGGTGTGTGTTTGTGTGTGTGTGTGTGTGTGTGTGTGTGTGTGTGTGTGTGTGTGTATGTGTGTGTGTGTGTGTGTAAGTGTGTGTGTAAAATCTTCGTAAGTCAAATCACGTCCATTAAAAGAAAAGTAGTCTAAAAACAAAAAAGACGAAATTATTACATAAGAAACTTGGAACAACAAAAACTTGTTTTCTTGCATTTTTAATGTGACTCGAAATTAAGAGAAAAAAAAATTGCAATAAAACGAGACAATATATTACAAAATGTTTGATTTCGGGAAAATCCTCTTTTTGCCTTTTTGCTGTTTAAAGAAATAAACTTTGAAGTATCAAAATCCCCCCCCCCCCCCTAACCTCAACCGTTCCCACTCCTCCTTTCTTGACCCAAATCCTTCATCTTGTCTTAGGAAATGAATAGTGTGTGCGTTTATGAATGTGACTGCATACTTACATGTGTGTGCATCTGTGATTGTTAAACAGGCTAAAGTGAAATTCTTTTTCAATATCTTTGGTTCTGTTATTTAGTTCCTTTTACTATAATTTTACAATTCTTATATCACTCGGTGAATGTCACAATTTATAGAAATACAGGAGATGACTCAGAGAAAAATCTTGCTCCAGCAATGTTTGAACTGAGAGGTTGTGTCTTTGTAAACATTAAGAAATGAAAGGCTGAAAGTGCAATGATGTATCATACAATCTCTTATTACTATTATCATTTCTTCTTGAAAGAGCTGACTATTCTATTTTGTGTCCTACAAACATAATCGTTTCTTCTTGAAAGAGCTGACTATTCTATTTTGTGTCCTACAAACATAAACATATCTTCTGCGAAGTTTTCGTTTTCTGTCAGTAAATTTTTACAAC